ATGCCTACGAAAGACCCAGCAATTGTGTTGTTTTGACTCGGCATCACTGAAGCATGATGAGGGATGTGCAGCTTTGATTACAGGTGTACAAAAGGTAGTAAGAAATTATTCAAATCAGAATGGTCTGACTAAGGGCTGAATCTCATTTTAATCATCTGAAAACGCAAGGAATCTTGTTTATGTTACACTATTTTCATTGCATTTAAACAAATTAGTGCACAATATGTGCAAATCAACTCACAGCCCCTGCTGTGAGTTGATTTGACCCAAAGAGCTGGGTTGAAACTACCCAAGACTCTGAAAATAACCCCCAAAAATTAAATTAACCAAATGCCTTAACCCAAGATTTGGGTAGAAAAAATAACCCCATATTTTTTACAGTGTAATATTCTGACATCAGCTGTAAACATATCACACAAATTGTACAAATTACATCTTGAACAATGGGGTTTGGTCAATATAATATTGGTGTAACTTTTAATTATGACCCAATATTCTGACATTAGTAACTGTATATGTAAATACTGCACAAATTACATGCTTAAGAAAGGAGGTTTAATCATTATAATATTGGTGTAACTTTAAAATATGACCCAATATTCTAGCATCACTAGCTGTAATTGTACTGTCCAAATGACATCTTTAAAAATGAGATTTGGTCATTAGTATATTGGTTTAACTTTTAAATATGTCCAAATTGAATATACAGGACAAAAGTGAGATTGGCAAAAATAACTCAAGACGTGGACCCTATATGCGATCGCTGTAAGCAAGGACCTGCAGACTTACAGGTCTTAGAGGGATGCAATGAGCTTCATCCATTTGGAAAAAAAATCAGGTTTTCAATAAATGGCAATACTAGGGCTTTTTCTGAAACATGGGACCCATTTAGAATTTTCTTTTCAGAGCATGACAGTATCTCTACAAACTGTCAATCTAAATCTTAAGGCCATTCAGTTGCAATGCAAATATAATTAGGTACTTTATAAATACCTGAGGACTCTTTTTTTTATAATATTGGGTTATCTAAGTATGGACGTTTTATTTTTCTATTTTATTTTATTTATTTTTACTTTATTTTTACTTTATTTATTTATTTATTTATTTATTTATTTATTTATTTTATTATATAATTTATTCATTTTATTTACTTAATTGTTTTTATTTATTTATTTATATATTTATATATATATTTTTTTTTTATTATCATTCATAATTTTTTTCTCTTTTTTTTCTCTGTTCGATAAATGTAATTTTAATTTGTGTAGAGGGTAGGGGTGGGAATAATATTTGTGCAAATGTCTCTGTAAAAATACTTTGTTATATCCGTAAAAGTTTAATAAGCAAATCAATAAATAAATAAATAAATAAACAAATATATATATATATATATATATATATATATATATATATATATATATATATATATATATATATATATATATATATATATATATATATATATATATATGTCCAGATATTCAGACATCAGTGGCTGTAAATGTATCGCACATATTGTCCACAGGTGTTACATTTAATTTCTATATTGGGAATAAAACCTTTCTTGGTGTTCTTTCAGCCTACATTCAATATGGGTAAAATACTTAAATACTTAAGAACTTTTAAAATCAGATACTTTAATACTTTTACTCAAGTCTTATTGAAATTGGTGACTTGTAACTTGTAATGGAGTCTTTCACAGTAAGGTACTTTTGCTCAAGTATTGTTTTCAGGTACTCTTTACACCTCTGCAATGAGGTTTGATTATTATAAATATGACCCAATATTCTGAAACCACTAGCTGTAAATGTATTACACACGCTATCCAAATTACACCTTTAAAAGTGAGGTTTGGTCATTATGATATTGGTGTAGCTTAACTTAAACATGCCCAATATTACTCTTAAAATAACTGATTACAGCTCACTGTGACCTTTTCCCTGCGAGGAAGTTTCATTATCACATTGTGCCTATAATGACTATAGCTGCAATTCCCTTTTAAGGATCCCTAATGCCTTTTTAAAAGCATTTTAACCCAGGAACCCTTTAGTTAAACTTTGCTGAGATGATTACAGGAAAGTCTTTGGATTTATTTATTATTTATTTGGTAGTGTTTAAAGAAATCAGTGCGACTTCAGTATGTGAAATGCGCTGGATTACAGATATCAGTATAATAATGTGTGTAAATGAAAGAGGTTAAGCGCTCCGGTGGCTTTGTGGACTACGAGCGATTACTAAGTGAGCACATCTGTCATTCTCCTCTTTGCTATTAAAACCAACAAACGCAGGTCTATTTTTAAGGAGAAATGTATTTGCACTTTGTAAGCCACCTACGGGGAATATAAAGGGTGCTTATTAAAAGTTTCTGTTTTATTGCTTTTTATTTATTGCTTCAGGGAGAGAAGGGGAAAAAAAGGAGTGCATCGGTCTTATAAGGAAGGAATAATATATCTTGTTTTGATACGGCTCACTGTTAAATTTGAAATTTAAATCAGTTCTGATATACAAGCCTGATGCACCAACACTTATTACTTTTGTTCGGATCTAAATATGCGGATATTTTGAGGATGCGAAAACCGGTGGATTATTGGGAACTGAACAGTGGGAGATTTTTTACGAATCTCTGTGGGCAGCAATGCAAGCTGTGAGCTTAAAAAAAAGTTAAGATCCTGTATTATTGGATACGAAAAAAGGCAATGCTAATAATGAAAAGCAAACTAACCACAAAAATAAGTGTGAATACAGATCTGATGAGTGCATCTGTGTGTTTTTTAGGTTGATGGGGTGTGTGCGATGGCCTAGATACACATCAGTGTTTGACTATGCTTGGCAAAATCATTCCAGGAATATCAGCGAGAGCTGCTGAACTCTGATATATTGATCGTCTGTGAAGGGAAAAGGCCTTGAAACAGCAGCTTGTTGAGACTGCCATCAGGTGGCTGATATTGAGCATCTCAGAACTGTTCACAGATCAAAACTCATTCATTCATTTTACTTCACCTTAGTGCTTTATTTATCCGGGGTCACAACCACAGCGGAATGAACCGCCAACTATTCTGGCATATGTTTCATGTAACGGATGCCCTTCCAGCCACAACCCAGTACTCGGAATATATATATAATTTACTCCTGACAAAATAAAATAAAACTTTCTCAAGTAGAAAATATCTTAGTCCCTCTATTAATCCGGGGTCGCCACGGCAGAATGAACCAAATATATATATATATATATATATATATATATATATATATATATATATATATATATATAATTGTTATTATTATTATTAATTAATTAAGTACACGCCCCACAAATCTCTCATTTAAATTAATATTTTCTATAGGATGCTTTACAATATTATATTTGTGCACATGCATTAGTTTAGTCCGTTCTAAAGCCAAATCTAACAAGCTTATCTAACAAAATAACTTCAAAAATGCAAGTTTAAAACTTAGTAGCTCAAATCTATATGTTAGGGGAAAATATTAAATATGATGAAAAAAAGAGGAAAAATCAAGAGAAACAAAAAATATATACAATTTTGTTGAATTGCTGTAGTTTGTAATTTGTTTTGCTTGTTTTATAAATGTATAATCCTTCCATTTCTAAAGATGTTCTGTGACTAAAATATTATTTTAATAAATATATCTGTTTAATAAATCTGTTTTGTTCAAATGCTCTAATATATATTACCCATATTCACTGAGAAATTGATAAAAATATTCATTTTCAAAATGGGGTTTACATATATATGCTGCGCACTAATTATATATATATATATATATATATATATATATATATATATATATATATATATATATATATATGTTTTGTTTTTACTTTATTTTTGTAGTTTTATAGATTTATAGTATCTTACAATTCAATTAAAACACACTGTCTTCATGGCAAAGACAAAATAAAATGTTTTTAAAAATGTGATGAGATCTATGTGATTTTAATGAAACTAATATTTTCAAAATGCATGTTTAGAAAGAGCATTAATCTGTTTAATTGTGAAAGCAATTACTTATATTCCATTAAAAAGTATAAACATGGTTGCTGTTAAACAAGAAATGTTAAGTTAAATATATAAGACTAATGGCATTTTCATTGGAAACATCTCTCCGTTAAACAGAAACTGGGGAAAAAAATAAACGGGGTTAATAATTCTGACTTCATCTGTATGTGTATTAGCCCTCCTGTATATTTTTCCCCCAATTTCTGTTTAACGGAGAGATTTTTTTTCAACACATTTCTAATCATAATAGTTTTAATAACTTATTTCTAATAACTGATTTATTTTATCTTTGCCATGAAGACAGTAAATAATATTTGACTAGATATTTTTCAAGACATTTCTATACAGCTTAAAGTGACATTTAAAAGCTTAACTAGGTTACTTATGCAAGTTAAGGTAAATAGGCAAGTCATTATATAACAGTAGTTTGTTCAGTAGACAATCCAAAACAAAACAAAAGGTTAAATAAAAGTTATTTTCTGTGTTTTAAGGGTATACAGTAAAAACAATCTGTGATATGCAGAGAAATAATAAGAAATAAACACACAGACACTTTTAGATACAGAAAAAGAAGTTATAGCTGTAGAAAATAAGACCAAATAAATATATATATTTTAAATTATTTAAATGAACAAAGTAAAAAATATATATAAGGAAATATTCCCTCAGTCATATCTGAAATTAGTCCACACGGAGGGCAAAACTACAAAGAAACGCCGCTGTCAGTCGCACATTCTCGCTTTAGGAAAGTTGTAGCTGTATTTATTCCAGCAGTTGTCATGAGTTGTGTGTGTTTAAGCCGACTGGCTGCAATATTAAACCTCTTTAATCAGGATTCTTATAATAACGTCTGATGTCCATAACACCTGGTTAAGCATGAGTGTATTTATAGACACACAATGGGGTTGAATATGTATATAAAATCAGCATTTCCACTCGCGCTCAAATCACTTCTGCTTCATCTCCTGCTTTCAAGGGTTACGATTATGGTGAGTTTTCTCTGTCATGCATTTAATCATTCATTTAGTCTCTGATTCATATGATCAGCAGACATTTAACATAATCTACTTATCTAAAAGTAAAGGTTGAGTTGATTTCTGTCTGTGTTTGAAACTAAACCAATGCTGATGCATCCAGCGCCTCTGATGTTTTATTAAATTTCCCTTTTAGAAAATAAATAAATGAAAAGTAAACTGTTTCTGTTGTCAAAGACTGGTACGAATGGTTTTGTTTTACCATAAATAAAAAATGGGAGACATTTATTCAGAGGAAACAAACTCAGTTTAGATTTTCTCAATGCTTTATTAATAATAATAATAATAATAATAATAATAACATAATAATAATAATAACCTTTATATTTATATAGCACATTTAAAAGTAGCTTCTCAAGACACTTTACAGACATATGCAATGTGCAGCAGTAAAGGATACATACAAGGATGAATGTAAAGAATAAATGTAATAATAAGAAATTATTAAACACACATATAATAATATTAATAATAATAATAATAATAATAATAATAATAATAATAGATCTAAAATCAAATAAAAAATCTACTAAAAATCAAATAAAAGCTAGCCTACACTGTAAAAACATCCTGGTTGCCTTACATTTTTAAGCTGAATCAAATTAACCTTATGAGTCCTTCAACCTATTATTATATTAAACTGACTTTAAACAGCTTGCGTAACTTATCAAATTAAGTTAGAACCTGATTCACTTTTAATAAGTAACAATGAACTAAAAACATATGCTGTCATGACAAACTGATCGATTTTTACGGTGTAAAAACATAAGTATTCTTCAATAATATGAAGAATATTTATAAAACAAGCTGAAACAACACAATTCTTGAGTTTTTTTTTGCGGACAACTTAATTGTTTTACATTCCATCCACTTAAATTAGTAACAACTAATAAATTAACTTAATTCCTTCATGTTGTCCCATGTCGTGTGTCTGTCTGTGTGTGCGTGTGTGTGTGTGTGTGTGTGTGTGTGTGTGTGTGTGTGTGTGTGTGTGTGTGTGTGTGTGTGTGAAAAGTTATTGCTCTATAAAATAACTGTTCAAAATTAGTATATAATTTAATTTAAGAATTTATTCTAGTGATTTTATTGATGAATTTTCAGCTTCATTTCTCCAATCTACAGAGTCACATGATCCTTTAGAAATCACTCTAATTTGAATCATTATTAATATTATTTTTATATTAATTAATTAATTAATTAATTAATTAGTTAATTAATTAATTAATTAATTAATTTATTTATTTATTTATTTATTTATTTATTTATTTATTTATTTATTTATTTATTAATTAATTAATTAATTTATTTATTTATTTATTTATTTATTTATTTATTTATTTATTTATTTATTTATTTATTTATTTATTTATTTATTTATTTATTATTTTTATGGTACTAGTTATACAAGCAATAATGACCGGAGTAATAATTTCATTTGAATTTATATCCAATAAGTAATAAATAAATATTTAATAAATAAGTATGTTAGTGTGTGTGTGTGTGTGTGTGTATATATATATATATATCAAATATCTGCTCTAGAGTTTTACCATTTTTTTAAAAATGGCAAGTATATTGAATTGAACATAACATTTTTTAAAAAAAAAGTGAAAGCCCAGCTTATGAAAACCATATTTTTCTATAAAATCAAACATCATACTCATTAAAACATCTAAAACGGTAAGTGTTTACTTTCATGACTAAGGAAAGGGTGGAAACTCACTCCGCTGAAGACCCACATATTTCATTTCCTTTCATTTATCAATTCAGTTTTAATTTCAAGCAAATGAATAAATGAAAAAATAATAATGAAGTGTGTTAAAAAAAAACTGAGTTATATCCAAAAACACATGTCATGTGCCCCAAATGTCTCCAAAACCCGACAGGTGGACAAATCTAAACTTGTTTTTATTAAAACAAACATAAATGTGCATATAATAAATAATACCGCTAATAACAATAACATTATACAAATGCAGATTGTTGTGAATAAACTGAAAAAAGCCTCCCTGAGATGAAGAAGGCATGAAGGCAGTGGTTTTTATATTTGTAACTTTAAAATTTTTTCATATGTAAAGATATTTGTGTATTGCTGTGCATCCCCCCTTCCCCCTTCTTCGCAGGGTCCCCAAGTGCGCACGGGCCCCTGGGCCTGTGCCCATAATGCCCATTGGTTAATCCGGCCCTGGTCAGCATGATGTAGGCTTATAGTTACAATAATAATATGTAATAATACTGATATTTATACATGATAAAACTAGTGTGCAACTTAAGCCAAACTAATACTGTTTTTTTTACATTTAGTTTTGTAGTTCGGGCCCAAACAAATATCTGTTGCAGTTTTTAATCGTTTAAGTTCATTTGATTGACCAATGTACAGTCTTTAAGCTATGTTTGATGTTTCAGTTTTGAGTTAAAAATTTTTAAGGGTCTCTGACACAATGCTTTTATTATTCATCTTTATTTTGGTAATCAACATTAATTGTGTGCATCAGCAGGCAGTTTTGGATAGGTTCATTATTTATTATAGGCTCCCTCAAAACACACAGGCACACAAAAGATGGACTTCCAGTGTGGATTATAATTTTATTATAATAATAAAATAAATTATTTATTTATTTTTTTTTGTCAACTCTCATTATTTCCTATATATGGCTTTTGTGCTTTTATAGCAGGGGTCACCAACCTTTTGGAAACTGAGAGCTACTTCTTGGGTACCGATTAGTGTGAAGGGCTACCAGTTATTAAATAAAAAAAAAAAATTATTGACTTTTAATTATATGTTATTATTAATCATATTTATATATGTGAAGACATTGATCATGTTAATGATTTCTCACAGTAGTTGTCAAAGTAGGCGCAGTGGGTAGCACGTTCGCCTCACAGCAAGAAGGTTGCTGGGTCGCAGGTTCGAACCTCAGCTCAGTTGGTGTTTCTGTGTGGAGTTTGCATGTTCTCCCTGCGTTCGCGTGGTTTCCTCAGGGTGCTCCGGTTCCCCCACAGTCCAAAGACATGCGGTACAGTTAAATTGGGTAGGCTAATTGTCTGTAGTGTATGAGTGTGTGTGTGAATGTTTCCCAGAGATGAGTTGCAGCTGGAAGGGCATCCGCTGCGTAAAAACTTGCTGGATAAGTTGGCGGTTCATTCCGCTGTGGTGACCCTAGATTAATAAAGGGAGTAAGCCGACAAGAAAATGAATGAATGTTTTTAAAGTTTTTTTTTTAAATATATAACTTTACACCAATATATAAAATTTACACCAATGCAAGTGTGATTTAAAAAGAATACCTATAAAAATATTAGATGCAGCTTACTCTTATGTGGAGCTATGGTGAGCTATTTTTAGAACAACTCATGTGATCTTGGCGGGCACCATGTTGGTGACCCCTGTTTTATAGAATAGGAGTTGGTATACAAATTCAAGGGCGTGCACAGATGGGTAGCATTTTGACTGAATATAGTGGGTCGCTCTGTCCCAAAATGCCAGGGCTGATTTTTTGTCCCAGTCCGTCCCTGAGCATAGCAGCTCATCGATTGCTCCACAACAGTGTCACAAAAATTATGCTATATTTACGTGAGTATCTGAAGCTGTATCCCTTTTAGACTTTATCCCTGTCTGCTGCACAACTGTTGAGAAATAATGCAGAGTGAAATGAGCAGCTGTCGGGCTCTGATGTCAGCCAACAGAAACGCATCTCACACTGTTTTCCAGATTCTGTGACAGGAATGTAAATAGTCGCGATTAATCCCCGTCTTGGTGGGATTACCGATCAACAGGCTCAAAGACGAGGCTGTCAACAGTCAGCGCCAGTGTGTAATCCCATATCTGATCCACTGGCTGACTTCTCCACTCGCAGCTAATTATACATCCTGCAATACACCAAACATTTCCATTCTCTCACACACAAGCACACTAGTGTTCAGACTGCGCTCTTTCATTGCTCTAGAGGAGAATTTAATGCGCGATTAAAGTTGAATGCTTTATCAAGATCCCAAGTGTCAATATACAAAAACACAGTTGGTAAGGAAGAATTAAAGGTGCAGGATGTCAGTTTTGACACCCAGTGGTTTAACTAGGTACACCTGGTTTAAAACACACGCAAGCGCAGGTGGCCTGATTGACCACACCAAGAGCCAGGGCTGGAGTGGCTCTTCTTTTTCAAGCTTCAGACTAGACTCCAGATTTTACTCCAGATTTCTGCGGCGCAGGAATAAATTTCCGAATAAAGCGCGGGAGCGGTCGGTAACGGGTTTAATTTGAGACGGGAGCGGGCCGTCTAGCAATATCGCTCCTGACTCCCGAGCAAGCACGCGTATGTATGTGTGTAAATGAAATAGTGCGATGCTGTGTTTAGCTTGTTTGTTGCTGTGTGTGTGTGCAAGCGCAAATGAGAGGTGTGTGTGCGTGTTTGTGTGTGTGTGTGTGTGTGTGTGTGTGTGTGTGTGTGTGTGTGTGTGTATGTGTGCGTGTGCGAATGAGAGAGAGAGAGAGCTTTGCCTGTGTGTGTGCGTGCGTGTGTGTGTGTGTGTGTGTGTGTGTGTGTGTGTGTGTGTGTGTGTGTGTGTGTGTGTCAGTGCACGCGCGTGAATGAGAGAGAGAGAGAGCTTTGTCTGTGTGTGTATGCTTGGTGCTTATGTGTGTGTTTATACAGACAGCTTGTTATAGGCTGTCTGGACTCTGTATAGCTGGGTGGTTTCCGGTTTTGTTCTCTCCCCCGCTCTTTAGCGGGATCGGGCGCGGCGGGTAGAAAACGGGGCGGGGCGGGCAGCGGGACAACAAATGCTGTATGTAAGCGGGAGCGGTCGGGTTCGGGCTAAAACCTGGCGGGTGCGGGCGGGAGCGGGATTCAAAATTTAGTCCCGCGCAGATCTCTACTTTAGACCAGCCCACCTCAGTTCACGGCTGACTATTAAAATAGGATCATTTCCAATTCAGTTTTTAATGACACTATCACGTCTTTTTCAAGGAAACAGCTGCTTTAGAACTTCAAATGTTTTTCAGAAATATGAGAAAATTAAAGGGCACCTATGGTGAAAAATCTACTTTTCAAGCTGTTTAGACAGACATGTGTGTAGGTATAGTGTATATACTGTCATATTGGTGTGATATAAACACACACAGTCCTTTTTTTTAAATTTAACAATATAAAAATGGTGGACCAATTGGAACAGTTTTTAGATCGACCGCAACTTGACGTATGAGTGCAGTCCCCCCGCCCACCAATATTGATTGACAGCCGCGCGTCACCATATCCTCATATCCTGTTGCTTCACGTCTGCCATTTTTACCGTGAGAGTCAAAGCGATGTCACTAAAGGAACACCCTTGCTCTAGTTTTAGATGTAAGGCTCATTGGGCTCAACACAAGATCAACATTCACCTAGAGCTGCACAATTAATTGTTAAAAAAACGCGATCTCGATTCGACCCCCTATAGACGATCTTAATCCAGAATTTCTACGATTCTGTCAATCATATTTTCAAGTTCAGGAGAGAAGAAAAGGCGGCTGCACGAGTCTTTTCATTGTTTCACACACGTTGCTCAGTGACATTGACACCTCCAAATGATGTTGAATGAGTCACATAATGTACTTGTAAGGTATACTTAACCTAAAAATGTCATTTTTGTCTTCATATAACGATGTTTTCGCGGCTGGGAAAATCACACGTGTCATGAGCTGCTGATCGTGAGCTGTTATAGAGAGGGCGCTTTAGTGAACAGAACCTGCATATGTTGTGAGTAACAGGTAATACAGTTGTAAATAATATTCTGTTTGTGGCACAGAGTGATCGTTTGGGAGCCGCGCGAAGTATGAACAAGCACTTAGCAGTCAAAATGAAACCAAAAGTGTGCACTTCATTTAAATCAGTGGTGTCAAACTCCATTCCTGGAGGGCCGAAGCCCTGCACAGTTTAGTTCCAACCCTTCTCCAACACACTTACCTGTAGGTTTCAAACAAGCCTGAAGGACTCAATTAGTTTGATCAGGTGTGTTTAATTAGGGTTGGAACTAAACTGTGCAGAGCTGCGGCCCTTTTGGAACTGAGTTTGACACCTGTGATTTAAATGATCATATCGCATTATGATTACGGCAAGCATTTGAAATGTTTTTTTTTTCATAGTGAACCCACAGTTGTGCATGAAAATAAATGTTTACAATGTCAGTTTAACTACTGTAGCCTTTATATAGTTGAATATAATCTGATAATGGAAAATGTCTGATTTTACCAGTGAATAAAATTGTCTGATATGACAGATTGCTAGCATATATCTCAAACATAATAATTCAACAGTTATTATAAGTAGAATAGAATTATTTATAGAAACCAGTAGACCTACACATAATATTATTATCGATGTTGTGCTATATGTTTGTTTTTACCATACCTTTATTTTACATATACAGAATCGTGAGAAAATCGTGATCTTTATTTCAAGCAAAAAAAATTGCGATTCTCATTTTAGCCAAAATCGTACAGCTCTACATTCACCACATGATCGCTGTAATCGGAATTATTGTTTGTAACTTAGTTTGTTTGTAGCTAGGTTTGCAAACGTGTACTTTTCATTGTGTCTTTCCTAAACTTCAGCCGTTTTTTGCATTTCTCGCGCTCACAGAAGCTCCCTGTGATCTTAGCTAGGTGCAGCTGAAAAGTGCGAGCACCTTTGCCTCACATGAGTGTCACTCCATTTGCAAATAAAATAACAAACTTGCCTGCAGGTCGCATACCAGAAGCGCCATGCATTTTAGAATTCTATAGGTTTCTAATCAGGGTATACACAACATCGCTTCAAGTTGGCGGCTGTCCGTGGTGCCCAGCCACTATTCGGGACACTTAATGTTTCAGCCGCACCATAGAGCTCCATCTGAATAGTTTTATTTTAAATAACATGCAAATATGCGTGTCTGGTGTGCCGTGTCGCGGCTCTAAGCGGGTCATCCGGTGCCTCAAAGTTAATTCAGTGTGGGTGGTTATTAGTCTCGGTGTAGAAGCTCAGAACTTTAAACTAGCACACAGTTGGCTGTAAAACTACACCCCTTTGTGATGTTGGGCAGGAAATTTATACAGATTTTAATGTAAAGCAACACACACCTAAAACAACAAGCTGTGTACACGCCCCCGAAATAACACTTTTTAACCCATTATAATAAAAAAATCTGAACTGTGTTTTGAACTGAACCAAAACTGGCACACTCAGAAGAGCCATAATATTAATATTAAATCATAAAAAAGGGGTAAACTACGTGCCCTTTAAAGGGGAGCTAAATCTCCAACACTGTTCTTTAAAACAGTGGTCCCCAACCTTTTTATTACCGCGGACCGGTCAACGGTTGTCAATTTTACAACGCACCGGTGTGGGTTAGAAGTTGGGGGGGGTGGACTATCGCGGTCTGATTATGTTTCAATCAAGGTTTATATGCATCAAATACATAACATCTGTGCCAAACATCTCAACTGACAAACATATTAACAATAATACAACTGTATAGCCGAATTAAATGAATGCATTGGCATGTTACAGCCCTAATAAGTATGATTATGTGAAATTATGTGCATTTCACATGGCGTTTATTGTCATACTACTGAAAGCAGCAGCAGATAGTTCACCTCTGATCTTGAATATGAAATAAACTGTTTGAGATTGAACTTTAGAACTGAGACTTGGTTAAATGACCAAAACAAAGACAGACGTTCCCGACACGGAAAACACACCTTCAAAGCACAATAACTAACTTCAGCATTACTTTTCAGATAAACAAGAGTCAACTGTTTACTGAACAGGGCCGTATCATCTCCAGCGTTTACTTTTTAAAAAGGTATCACCCAGTGACAGCTTCCATACCTTGATTTCTGACAGTGTACTGTGGCTTTAAGAGGGTTTCTGCAGAATTATGATTATAATTTTTTTTACTTGCTTTCTTGTTTAGAATAAACAGTACAGATGTGCCACTGTATACTTTTAATTAACCAGTGTGCATACAGTTGAAGTCAAAATTATTAGCCTCCCTGTAACTTTCCATTTTTTTAAGTGAAGTCTCCCAAACTAATTTCGAGAGGAGCACGTGATAGAATTGACTACAGCTGATCCCTATCACTAATCACTAACTAGCCAATCGGATCACTCTAAATTCAATATAAATACCCAGCCTAAACTTCATTCCTCATCTTCGTTTTGGAAACCCCCCCCATACTTCCCTTCTCCCTCCTCCTCAGTTTGGGCGACTCGGTGGCTAGCACTGTTGCCCCACAGCAAGGAGGTCATTGGTTCAAAGCTGAGCCAACCGATACTCTCTGTGCGGAGTTTGCATGTTCTCCCCGTGTTCGCGTGGGTTTTCTCCGGGTACTCCGGTTTCCTCCCACACTCAAAAACTATGCAACAAAAGTTAAAGTCACAAGCACCTACAAACTAGCGCAAACAGTGATTTATTTTGGGGAGCTATCGAGAACTACCTGATCTCATATCCCTCCTAATGCTTATTGACCAGGCAGGAGCCTTGGGCTCATCTATCACCGAGCTCAGGGTTCTCTCCCGGTACAGCATGCCAAACTAGCTTAAATAGTCAAGCAGTATCTAAATTCTTGAAATATGTATTTCCCAAATTATGTTGAACAGAGCATAGAATTGTTCACAGTATTTCCTATAATATTTATTCTTCTGGAGAAATTCTTATTTGTTTTATTTTGGCTAGAATAAAAGCAGTTTTTAATAATAAAAAAAAACATTTTAAGGTCAATATTATTAGTCCTCGATTGTCTACAGAACAAATCATTGATATACAATGACTTGCCCAATTATTTTAACCTGCCTAGTTAACCTAATTAACCTAGTTAAGTCTTTAAATGTCACTTTAAGCTGTATTGAAGTGTCTTGAAAATATCTAGTCAAATATTATTTACTGTCATGATAGCAAAGATAAAATAAATCAGTCATTAAAAATGAGTTATTAAAACTATTATGATTAGAAATGTGCTGAAAAAATCTCTTCGTTAAACAGAAATTGAGGACAAAAATACACAGGAGGGCTAATAATTCTGACTTTAACTGTGTGTATATATGTAATATATCATTACAGGCACCCAAAAAGGCAAAGAAGCGGGCCGAAGGAGCCAACTCCAACGTCTTCTCCATGTTCGAACAAGCTCAGATCCAGGAGTTCAAAGAGGTACAAACCGAGCACGCCATTTGACTCTAATTGCTCTGACAATTGTCTTTATGGTGACACTTTCAGCAGTGATATTATTGAGCATCTACAAGCGAGATTCCTGCAACATGTCAGTGCTCATCATCACTAGTGAATAATTCAGAAGGTGTCAGAAACGATTAGCACAGATTTAGGCCCTGAACAAACACTCACTCGAACCTGCTGTCAAACCCATGAATGTTGCGTGAAAAATGCGGCAGGACAGACGTTTTCTCTGGTCTCAAAGCGGCTGTAAAAAGATCAGGACAAACAGGATAAGCGTGACACTGATCCGAGATGGCAGTGATGAGAGAGTGTGTAGACAAATGCAACCCGTCTCTCTCTCTCTCTCTTTCTCTTTCTTTCTTTCAGAGTCTTTTTAGCACAAACAAACCCAAGTGATGAAGAATTACAGGAACTATAAAAATATAAACAGAGGGAGATCTGCTGAATTTGATGCATCACGCATTATAGGATGCAAATATCTGACCTCAGAGCTGCACTAATAAAATAAAATAAAATAAAATGTCTGAATTCTGACTAAAGAAAGATTTTGATTAAACGATTACAAAGATGCACAAATAAAATAAATAAAGCAAAAAAAATTTGATAAAAAAAAAACTAAAATGTCTGACTTCTAACCAAATAAGAATCACTTTATTTAAAGATTACAATGATGCATAAATAAAGATTACATCAAATTACATAAACTTAAATAAAGTTAAATAAAAAAAATAATTTAAATAAAATAAAATTAAATTAAAATGTCTGACTAACTAAAAAACGATCATTTTGATTAATGATTACAAGGATGCACAGTTACAATTAAACAAAATTAAATTTTAAACTTCAGTTAAATTAAATTAAAATGTTTTCTAACTAAAAAAAGATAATTTTGATTAAATATTATATAAGGATGCACAAATTAAATTAAATTAAATTAAATTAAATTAAATTAAATTAAATTAAATTAAATTAAATTAAATTAAATTAAATTAAATTAAATTAAATTTAATTAAATTTAATTAAATTTAATTTAATTTAATTAAAAGGTCAGACTTTAACTAAAGAATGATCATTTTGATTAAAGATTATGAGGATGCACAAATTAAAATAAACAACATAAAATGTATAACTACTAACTAAAGAATAATCGTTTTAATTAAATATTACAAGGATGCACAAATAATAATAATAAACTAAATAAATAAAACATTTTAATTAAATTTAAATGTCTTCTAACTAAAGAAAGATCCTTTTGATTAAAGATTATGAGGATGCACAAATAAAATAAAATAAAATAAAATAAAATAAAATAAAATAAAATAAAATAAAATTAAATAAAATAAAATAAAATAAAATAAAATTAAATAAGCATGACACTGATTCGAGATAACAGTGATGAGAGTGTATAGACAAATACAACCCGTCTCTCCCTCTTCCTTTCAGTCTGTCTTTTTTGCACAAACAAACCAAAGTGATGAAGATTTACAGTAACTATAAATATATTAACAGAGGAAGATCTGCTAAATATGATGCATCGCATATTATAGGATGCAAATATCTGACTTCTAACTAAAGATAGTTGCTAAAAAATGTCATTCCAACTTGTTTGTTGTTATTTTTGCACTTTACACACTCACAAAACAGTATATCAAATCAGTCTGGAAATATATGCACAGTTCACATAACAAGTCTCCTAAAGTCCTATGTCTTTGGTGAGAAATAGATGGCTGTTTTTACAGATATGGTAATCTTTCTCACCCAGTAAAGCTCTGAAACCCTGTTCAGATTTAGAACTTGTTTGAGCTGTGATTAAATGTGATGCACCAGTTTTGGTTTGTGGTTTTGTCGAGTACATAATAACAGGATTTTCATTTTTAGCAGGACTTAAGTCTAAATAAGCATATTTGAGGGTATTAGAATGTAAGTACAAAACCATTTCAAGACATAAGTCCAGACAGTGCTTAAGAAATATTTTTAGCCTGTTTTTAAAACAAAGCCCACATAAACAGTCACCAAGAGCCAAAAAGATGCCCAATCACATGAGAAGATAATCAAAGTATTACTTAAACAAAGCAGAGTTAAAGCCAAAATTATTATGACATTTTTTTCCCATAATTTTCCAAGTGATGTTTAACAGAGCAAGAACATTTTCACAGTATTTCTTAATATATGTACAAGGGTTGGACAATGAAACGGAAACGCCTAGCTTTAGAACATAACAATTTGGCCCACCATCCCATCTGAGAATGATAGAGGGGTTTTTGTTCGTTCGTTCGTTCGTTCGTTCGTTCGTTCGTTCGTTGGTTCGTTCGTTACAAAAAAGCTGATTAATATTAAATATATCACTTAAATATAAGTCCAAATGTCTTGTAACTAAAGAGAGATCATTTTGATTAAAATCGCTTTTAATCATTTTGATCAATAGTCCAGACTGCTGAACGCATCACTGGCCCTACTCTTCTTACACTTCAAGAACTGTACTCTTCCAGAGTGAGTAAAAGGGCTTGCAAAATCACTCTGGACACCTCGCACCCAGCACACTACCTGTTCAAACTGATACCGTCTAGTCGACGCTTCAGAGCACAAAAACAGCCAGACACAGGAAAAGTTTCTTTTCTCAGGCCATCTACCTCACGAACAGTTAAAGAGTCCCCTACTGTGCAATAAACATGTGCAATACTTTCTCATACGCACTTGTACACAGCACCTTATAACAGTTTACAATGCAATACTTTCTCCATTCGCATTTGTACCTGTACATTTATAACAAATCAGTACATACAACTCAACATCCAGATTTTCTTTGACTAACTGCATCTCTGTTTAATGTTTATCGTATTTTTTTCTATATGTGTGTTGTCACTTTATGGTCACTGGAAGCTTCTGTAGCCAAAACAAATTCCTTGTGCGTGTGAAGCACACTTGGCAATAAAACTGATTCTGATTCTGATAAATGAATATGAGTTTTTAAAACGTAAATACTGTCACTCGACAAATAGAGGAATATGCAAAAGGTAGAGGAAAACGTTTTCAGATACGTTCCGCCAAAACACCTCAAAGTGGCTCAATAATATTTAACATCGGCCATGGCAGATGTTCAACTTCACTTTCATGTTCATCAAACCACTCTTGCTGTGTGTATTAGTGCATTATCTACCTGATACACACCACCACCTTCAGGATACAATGTTTGAACCATTGGGTGCACATGGTCCTCCAGAATTGTGCCCATAGTGATGTGCCAATCTAGCCCAAGTATTGGGCCTAGAGAATGCCATGATGTTGCAGCCCAAACAATCACTGATCCACACCCCATGCTTCACTCTGGGCATCAATATTCTGAGTGCTACGCTTCTTTGTGGCTTCTCTAGTCAACACCATAACTCTCCCGGATGTGGGAAAGACAGTGAAGGTGGACTCCTCAGAGAACAATGCATGTTTCACATTGTCAACAGCTCAAGATTTTTATTGCTGGCACCAGTGAAACTGACATTTGGCATTGGCACAAGTGACCAAAGGTTTGGCATAGCAGCCCAGCCATTTATATTGACCCTGTGGAATAAAATAAAATAAAAAAATAAATAAAATAAAATAAAATAAAATAAAATACAATAAAATAGAAAAGAAAAGAAAAGAAAATATAAAAGAAAAGAAAAAAAGAAAAGAAAAGAAAAAATAAAATAATATAAAATAAAATAAAATAAAAAATAAAATAAAATAAAATAAAATAAAAAAGAAAAGAAAAGAAAAAATAAAATAATATAAAATAAAATAAAAAATAAAATAAAATAAAATAAAATAAAATAAAATAAAATAAATAAAATAAATAAAAAATTAAATTAAATTAAATTAAATTAAATTAAATTAAATTAAATTAAATTAAATTAAATTAAATTAAATTAAATTAAATTAAATTAAATTAAAATTATTTTAATTTAATTTAATTTAATATTGAACTAAATTACTTTATATAATGAAGACTATGTAGTGTAATTTTATTAAACATTGTCAGGCTTTCCAGAAACCATAAAGCACTGATTATTTCACTTTTATCTTTACTCTGTTGTATTTAATAATGCTTGCAATGTGTTTATTATTTTATACATGATTCCCTCCAATACAAAATCATCATAATCAATCCAAATTAATTAACTCTTTCCAAATATATGCATTCAAGTCAACTCATGAAATTGTACTAGTATATCAACATACAATGCAGAAAAATCTAATATTGTCAGATGTTTACAATATTGATGATCCCAGTTGAAAGTGCAAATAAATAATAACTTGACTTCTAGTTCTAGTTGATCATTTGGAAAAGTGGCAGAAGGTCTGTTGAACTGCATCCCAATCATCACAAATACTGAAGAAGACCTACTGGAACCCGCATGGACCCAAGATTCTCATAGAAATCAGTCAAGTTTGGTGAAGGAAAAATCTTGGTTTGGGGTTACATTCACTATGGGGGTGTTCGAGAGATCTGCGGAGTGGATGCCAACATCAACAGCCTTAGATATCAAGACATTTGTGCTGCCCATTACATTACAAACCACAGGAGAGGGCAAATTCTTCCGTAGGATAGCGCTCCTTCTCATACTTCAGCCTCCACATCAAAGCTCCTGAAAGCAAAGAAGTTCAAGGTGCTCCAGAATTGGCCAGCCCAGTCACCAAACATAACCATTATTGAGCGTGTCTGGGGTAAAATGAAGGAGGAGGCATTGAAGATGAATCCAAAGAATCTTGATGAACTTTGGGAGTCCTGCAAGAACTCTTTCTTTGCCCTTCCAGATGACTTTATTAATAAGTGATTTGAGTCATTGCAGAGATGTATGGATGCAGTCCTCCAAGCTCATGGGAGCCATGCACAATATTTATTCTGTCTCCACTGCAGCATGACTTTATATTCTATACTGGACATTATTTCTGTTTAATGACAAGACTTTTGTCTCAGCAGAGTCAGACCTTACTGTCCTAATTAAATCATTAAAAATCAAGGCATGATCATATTTATTTTAGTAAAATAAGTGTAATCTAGAGGCTTTTGCCTTTGCCCACTTCTGATACCAAATAATCAACTAGAAGTAAAGTTGTTATTTGTTGTTCCTAAAAGTTGTGTGGGCGACAAGACTTTTGTCAGGGAGTGTATATGAAAAAATATACAATTTCTAAGGATAAAAACATTATTTAGTGATACTAGAATGTTATGTTTCACCTTTAACAAACACTGCATTCTGCGCACACACAGTTTTTTTTGCCTCTTTTTGATCCGTCTCAGGCTTTCACTATCATGGACCAGAACAGAGACGGCTTTATCGACAAGAATGACCTGCGGGACACGTTCGCAGCTTTAGGTGGACTCTAATAATCTCTGCTATATGTGTCTGTCCTTCTGCATTGGTGTTTGAAGTGTGTGTCTGACCTCTGACCTCTACAGGCCGGCTGAACGTCAAACAGGAGGAGCTGGATGAGATGCTGAAGGAGGCTCCGGGACCCATCAACTTTACCGTCTTCCTCACCATGTTTGGAGAGAAGCTTAAAGGTAAAGAGGCTGAGGTGCTACTGAGAAGCTTTATATTATGTAGGAATTTTTTGTTGCCTTGAAAAAGATGCTAGTGAGAAAACGTTTTAGTCAGTTGTTATGAGACAAGTTTCAAGCTACTGATTATAGACCAGTTTTTTTTTTTTTACATTGGCTACATTGGCCTGTGACTGTGATTTTAAGTGAATTTAAACTATTTGGGCACACAAAATTACACAGCAGCATTGCAGCTTTAACGAAGATTAATTGTGTTTATTTTACAATAATGACTACACTGTGTTATTTTACATTTAATATATTGAATTTTTGTACCTCGATAATGAAAAACTCCACCGAAAAACTATAAAGCGCTGTTTATTTCATATTTACTTTTGTACTACACTGTTAAAAAAAGAGGTCTGGCACTAATCGGAATTCCTTTTGAGCCAAATTTGCCTTCAACAATACAGAACGTTGTGGCTTTTACTACATTATTGGCTAGGAGGCTTATTCTCCTTAAATGGAAACAAACATCTCCACCTTCACATGACAGATGGATAAAATAATTTTTTTTGTGTTTAAAATTGGAAAACATTAGGTTTTCATTAAAAGGGTCTTTAAAATCCTTTTACAAAACATGGAAACAGTTGTTGAATTATATTGACACTATTGATCTTGAAGCAGAAGAGGAATAAAGCTTTTTATTTAAAAACATTTTTTATATATTTTTATTATTATTTATTAATTATTTTTGTAGTTAGTTTTATTTATTTTTTTTGCTGTTGTTTATATATTTATTATTTATTATTTTTTTACATGTATTGTGTCATTTTATTACTATATATTTTTTTCTGATGGTCATTGGTACTTAATTGTGAAAAAGCAGAACAGTGTATTACTTATTTCTGTATGTATATGATATTGTATCTGCACAAAATGTTAATATATACAGTTGGCAAAAAAAAAGAGGTCTGTAAAAAAAAGTCAAGGCAACAAATATTTTTATGTTGATTTAACTTATTTTAGGGATATATTAAGTATAAAGTAATGAATATAACTTAATATCTTAGTCAGTTTGGTGTAAGTTGAGACGACTAGAGACGACAGGAAAGTTATTCATTCATTCAATATCTACCGCTTTTCTGGGGCCGGGTCAATTGGCCAGCAGTCTTAGAGAACCCCAGACTTCCCTCTCCTCGAGTCCGAGCTCCTCCCAGGTGACAGAGCTCCTCACCCTATCCATAAGGGTATGCCCTGTCACCCTGTGAAGGAAACTCATTTCGGCCGATTTTATCTGAGATTATGTCCTTTTAGTCATGACCCAAAGCTCATGCCATAGGTGAGAGTAGGAACGTAGATTGACTGGTAAATCAAAAGCTTTGCCTTTCGGCTCAGCTCCTTCTTTACCACAATGGACCAGTACATCGACCGCATTACTGCTGCCGCTGAAGCAAAACGCCTGTCAATCTCACGTTCCATCCTTCCCTTACTCGTGAACAAAACCTCAAGATACTTGAACTCCTTCACCTGGGGTAAGGACAAACCACCTTTTTCCAGTGGAGCACCATGGCCTCGGACTTGGAGGTGCTGATTCTCATCCCAGCCACGTTCCACTCGGCAGCAAACTACCCCATTGCATGCTGAAGGTCCATGTTCGATGAAGTGAACAGAACAACATCGTCTACGAATAACAAAAAATCTGCAGAACATCTGCTAAATTCTTTAAACAAGTTAAACAACAACTGTCTATTTAGATTCATTTCTGAATGTTCATATCACACAAAATCTGCAGAAACTCACGTCTGGTCTAAGCCCCTCCCCCGGAGAATTGTCATTCTATAGCAATCGCTGATTGGCTCCTGTACTAGAAGGTGGGCTTTATTCACCATATAGCGATCACTGATTTGCTCCAGTACTAGAAGGCGGGGCTTCATTCACCATATTGACAGTTACACTTTTCCCCATTGAAAAGTATACGAGTGACATGTCTTGTGTATTCTAGAGTCTTTGGTACGTTCTGCATGATAGGACCTCAACCATAAAAAGGAGGTGTAATAATAATGCAGATGCACTCCCCTACAAACCCATCCAATCAGTGTAAAACTCATTGTATATCACTTAATATATATTGCAGAAAAACCAAACATCAGTCAGCTTTCTTTTCCTAATATCGCACAGCCCTAATCTGGAATAGAAACAAGTGGGGCTTTTCTTTCCTTCTGATGTCCTGCAGAGTAATTGGATCATACTGGGAACGCTAATAGGTCTATAGGGAGGCTCTTGTATTAGCCTACAGCATGTGGAAATTCCCATAGGATCAGATCCAAAATTACGGTAGAAATTCCACTAGGGATCCTGTACAAAGTATTTCTTATTGAGGACTCGAAAGACTAATTGTCTATTGCCTTCTTTTAAAAACACACGCAGGTGCCGATGCAGAGGAGACCATCCTCAATGCCTTTAAAGTGTTCGACCCCGAGGGAAAGGGGACCTTGAGGAAGGATTTGTGAGTCTCATTAAAGCTAAATAACATCTCATTTCTACTTTGTTTTGTGATCTATGATCAGTGTTGGGTGTAATTAGTTGCAAAGTAACTATAGTTGCCGTAATTAACTTTTTCACCGACAAAAATAAAGGGATTATATTTTTAGGTCATTTCAAAAACGGTTTCTTATTTTAAATGCTGTACATTCACTTCAAGTTTACTTGTATAGCACTTTTCAAAGCATCTTAACAAAAGGTGCTACATTACATTACAGTCAAAATCACAAACGTTAAAGGTGCTGTATGTAAGTTTTTGACTTTTGTAAAGCATAAAAATACTATAATATGTTTGCAGATATTTAAGAAACATCATAAGTGAATACCAGCCTGATCTCACGAGAAAATGTAAGTATTTTACGTTTTGCCAGTTTAGTGGCTAATTCGTACGAATTCGTACGAGTTCAGTCGTACGGAATAGTACGATTTTAAAAAGGAGGCGTGGCACCTAACCCCACCCCTAACCCCAACCGTCATTGGGGGATGAGCAAATCATACTAAATTGTACGAATTAGATTGTACGAATTCATACGAATTAGCCACTAAATGAAAAAGTTACGAATTGCCGTGAGATTGTGTTGGTAAATACTCTTGTTTATCTGAAAGACAATGCTGAAGACAGATATTCTGCTTTTAAAATGTGTGTTGCATGCTGGGCTTTCTGTCTTTGTTTTGGCCAATTAACACGACCAATGTCACTTTAACCAATTATATTTCCGCACCCAGGGTTGCCTTGGTGGAAAACTGCATATTTCATACATTCAGTCAGGAAGGCTCTCAAAGCATGCGTCCGTGACCGAAATGCGACCTCCAGTGGACCATGGCTGTTTCTCAATATGCGTTCTTCAGCGATCTTGAGTCCTCGTGCTCTCGTGTAACGTCATCATCAACAGCCAAAGTTCACTTCTAATACTCAAGACAGCAAGAACGGAGGACGCGTGAAAGTTCCCAGATGTGTTCTTGATATCGAGGACGCATCGATGCAGGCTTGAGCACTAAACTCGCTCTAGAAGTCCCAGAAGTCATTGCGACTGGAGGTAGAAAGCGCAGCATTTTATATAGATTTAGTAAAAAAAAGTTCAGACATATAAATTATTTACCTCAGGAGTTTCCCTAAACGAAACGGTGAAAGTAAACATTACCATGAAAATCGTAATAAAGGCATAAACAACGTATATGCGTCCAGTTGTGCAACGTATATTTGTAAAGTCTTTAAGCATGGTATATATTTTTAAAAGGGGAAAAACAATAAGTGAAGTTTCACAAACTAATTTCGAGAGGAGCACGTGATATGATTAACCGCAGCTTGTCTCTCATCTACAATCAATAGTCAGCCAATCAGATTAATCCAAACTCACTATAAGTAGCCCAGCTTAAAAAAAATACTCTCTTATCTTCGTTTTCCGAAGAAAACCCCATCCACTCCATCTTCCTTTACCACGGGGAGCTCTCGAGAACTACCTGATCTTGTACTCCCCCTACATGCTTAATGGAACATGCGGGAGCCCTGCGCTCAATTATCTCTGAGCTCAGGGTTCTCTCCCTTGACAGAATGCCAAACCTGCTAAGATTGGTCAAACAATATCTACGTGTGAACTCTTGAAATCGTTGTATGAATGCTGTAATGTTTAAATAATTTTCCTCTAAAAACGCGTGAAGGTCACGTGACCATCAGAAAGAAGAGAGCATCTCATTTCTCACAGGACTCGTTCTCTGTTCTTGCGGTCTACCGAGTTCGTTCTTTCGAGGTGACCCAGCACCACGGGTCTTTTCAAGAACATATGTCCCTTCTCTGCGTTCTTGGAATTGAGAAACAGCCAGGGCTGGAGCAAGCTGAACTGCCGCTCTAGGCAGAGGGCGATCACGCCGCCCTCAACCCCAATGTGAAAACGAAAGTGACCAGTTATGAAAATGAAGTGAGGTGTCGCGGACCTCTTTTCCGGCGCTCTATGCGCGGATATAACTGAGGACGCGCGGGTGCTGAGGGAGGGAGGGAGGTGTCGCGGACTGGCGGACACCACCCTCTCTATTCTGCCGCCCTATGCGTGGATATAACTATGGACGCGCGGGTGCTGAGGGAGGGAGGTGTCGCAGACACTGCGCTCTTTATTCTGCCGCCCTATGCCCGGATATAACTGAGGACGCGCAAGTGCTGAGGGAGGGAGGGAGAGAGGTGTCGCGGGCGCTGCGCTCTTTATTCTGACGCCCTATGCGCGGATATAAGTTAACTGAGGACACGAGGTGACGCTGACGCCGCCCTCTCTATTCTATCGTCTATGCGCGAATATATCTGAGGACGCGGGTGGTGAGGGAGATGTCACGGACATAACTGAGGACGCAGGTGGTAAGGGAGGTGTCGCAGACGCCACCCTCTCTATACTGCCGCCCTAGGCGGCCGCCTAGGTCGCCTCTATGGACGCGCCGGCCCTGGAAACAGCCATAAGCAAACTCTGAAATGAGAAGCAGATTCAGAGTTCCACATGTGGGTAATAATTAGCAAATATTATAAATATTACGAGAGTAAACATTAGGTGAGCAGGTTATGTTGTAACCCCGTGTCCTAACAACATGTTACGTGACGAGATTTGCAGTGATAAGCAATTTGGCTGTTTGCACCAGATGAAACACGACAGAAATTTAAATACAGCCATTCAGAAGGAGAGAATAGTGCTTTTACTGCACTCCAATGAAATACTAAAGTTTATAATCTAATGAATACAAATTAAACCTCTTTAACATTATTACATGTAGAAGCTGAATCACTGATATGTGTTGGCTTTGAATCACAGTTTTAAAGTTATTTTTAAGATCTGAAGTGAACTGTCTGCTGCTGCTTTCAGTATGGCAATAAACGTCATGTGAAGTGACATTTAAACTCACATTATTAGCATTTAACACTGAATAAAGCACATGAGGTCTACCTGAGGGGATCATAGCCAGTTTTCTATCAATTCGAGGTATTGGTTAAAACAAAAGCTCATTTAAATTTGGAAAATGTTGCTTATTGAATGCTGTTGCTTTTTCTATAAGGCTGTTGTATCTTTAAGGAGTTGTGTAAAGTGCCGGCGGTATATTTAACCTGCAGTTTTACAGTATATAATGTCTTTCCAAACGAAATATTTACGTGTAATAATAATGAAGAGTATTTGAAGTGAAGTGTACATTAATTCAACAGTTCTGTATTAAATAGATTCTGTAAAAACACACACTGTAAAAATGCTGACTAAACAGCTTGTTAAGTTGACTTAACATTAAGTCTGAAGTCTTTTGTGTGTGTGTTTTGTTAACCAAATAAATTTTTAGGTCATTTAAATATGGTTACTTATTATGTACTTGCATTAAATACAGCACATACAGTGCTCAGCATAATCGAGTACACCACATTTTGAAAATAAATATATTTTATTCATTTCTCAATGAACATAGGCATTAGCAGATTTAGGCACGGGTAATATGGGTGATCACCCTGGGCGATGTTGCTGGGGGCGGCATGGGGAGACAAAAAAGTGCCCCAGTAAAAGCTTAAGATAAGATTGACTTAGTCTCTATTTCAGAGGTCGCCACAGCGGAATGAACTGCCAACTATTCCAGCATATGTTTTTTACGCAGCTGATGCCCTTCAAGCCGCAACCCTGTACTGGGAAACACCCATACACTCTCTCACACACTACGGGCAATTTAGTTTTTTACCGATAGCGCATGTGTTTAGACTGTGGGGGACACCAGAGCACAGGAGGAAATCCACGCCAACACGAGGAGAACATACTAACTCCACACAGAAATGCCAGCTGACCCAGCTTGGGTTCGAAACAGTTACCTTCTTCCTGTGAGCCGACAGTGCTAACCACTGAACCACCGTACCACCTTAAGAAACTATTAACTGAAAAAAAATATTGACTAGTTTGTATGAAATATCCAGCAAGGTGGCTCAGTGGTTAGCAGCTGCGTGGAGTTTGCATGTTCCCCTCATGTTGGCGTGGGTTTCCTCTGGGTGCTCCGGTTTCCCCCACAGTCTAAACACATGCGCTATAGGTGAATTGGATGAACTAAATTGGCCGTAGTGTATCAGTGTGTGTGAGAATGAGTGTGTTTGGGTGTTTTCCAGGGCAGAGTTGTGGCTGGAAGGGCACCCACTGTGTAAAACATAAGCTGGAATTGTTGGTGGTTCATTCCGCTGATAAATAGGGACTAAGCCGAAGGAAAATGAATAAATAAATGAATGAATGAATGAATGAATGAATGAATGAATGAATGAATGAATGAATGAATGAATGAACGAACGAACGAACGAACGAACGAACGAACGAACGAACAAACGAACAAACGAATGAATGTAAATATGGTGTCATTACTCTGAACATTTTGTGTTTTTGATACAACATTATAAGTGTTAAGTGATTTTAATAAAGCTAAAAGATCCTGTTTGATCCACATTTAAAGAATTAAATTATATTTGAAGTAAGAGTTGAGATTTATAGGAATTCTAAATAGTATTGATTCAAGCATTTAAACTACGTATTCAATTAATACGTATATAATTTTACGTATATAATTAAGGAACATTTTCAGACACAATAATTCAAAACATCATTCAAATACTATTATAATAATGTAATTAATAATTAAAGAGGATTTTGAAGTAACTTACTCAGCTATGATATGATATAGGTTATTACAATAATAGATACCGTACATGTAGACTGTCTAATGCCTGTGTTTGCCAGAGGTGAATCGATTATTTCGAAAGGTTAAACCCGAGTTTGTCTCTTTTCTCAGTTTGTCACGGATGTTGACAACACAAGCGGACAGATTCTCTCCAGAAGAGGTTTGACATCTTGAGATTATTTGTTTTATGTCCAACACTTCAGCTGAGCGTATGTCACAATGGCAGTTGAATTCTACATGAATGATGACATTATATTGTGTTTGTCTATAGATCGTGAGAACAAACTTCGAAATCCACACTGTGTAAACATCAGCTAACAATAGAAACATCATAATAATATTTGTGACCCTGGACCACAAAATTAGTCTTTTTTTGCACAGGTATATTTTTGACACACTGAAAAAAAAAATTTTAAGGCAAGCGGCTGCAAATAATTTATTTGGGCTGAATTTAAAAAAAAAATACATTTAATAATGTTTAACCTTATTTGTTTGTTTAAAATCAGCCCAAATAAATTATCAACCACTTACCTGTTTAGTTTAGTAAATTTTTAATTAATTATTAAGTTAGTTTAGTAAATCCAGTTTATCTTTTTTGATTTTTCATTGTATTGAACAAATATTATATATGATTTTTAATGTATACATTATTTATATATTAAATATAATATATTTGAAAATATTTTTCTTTTGTGGCAAAAATCATTTGAATATTTTGTATAGATCATGTTTCATGGAGATGTAAATTTCTTACTGTAAATATATAAAAATGCAATTTTTGATTAGTAATATGCATTGCTAAGAGCTTAATTTGACCTACTTTAACCCTTAACTGGCCCACAGTGTCAGGGCGACCTCAGAGGCAGTTCCCTATTTTTATTTTAATGTTCCTTCATTTCAGGGGAATGAAATTCTGGGTGATGAAGGTGAAGAAGGGAGGGGGGATTTTGTGACTATATATCATAAATTTGTGAAGAAAAGTTTTCCGAAGCATAAAAAATAACCTGAAAACAAAAGAGTCTCTATTGACCCCTGCTGGATATATGTGGAAACTGCATTTTCATTTTTTAACGATAATTCTTAAGGTTTTTTCTTTATCCTGCAGATGGCAGTATTCTATCCCTGCAATATGAGCCAACATCCAGAAACAGTTTATATTTAATTTAGGTCAGAATGACAATGATTTCTTAGATTTAAAAATTATTTTCATGAGCCAAATTATCAGCACGTGCTCATTGCGAATACATACCCCTGTCTACATTTCAGGTGACGCAAAATATGTACCCAGAGGTACATCTGGCTGTATCTCATCTCTAAAACGGGGTGGTATCATGCCACAATAGCTTCTGTTACTTTTTGCGCTATTCCGCCAACCTCGTACCATTGTGTGGACAGCTTTTCCGGTGTTACCAGTTTGCTCAGTGGCTCGCCTCATTTGCCGATGGACACTAGGTGGAGTTGACTGCAACAAAAGGGTTCGAGTCCGACTAAGAATGGTTCCAGAAACCAGGTAAAACAAAAGCAAAAATAAATAAATATATATATAAACAACAGGCTGAAAATGTGGTAAAGTCACTCATTTTGCTTTTAAAAAGGCTATCAGTTGGGTTTAGGGAAGAGTATGGGTGAGTCAGTCGGTCAGTCAGTCAGTCGACAGGAAACTTGCCTGGTTGGCTGAAGTGTATATTGCGCCCTTCTGGTGGATTTACATGAGAAGAGGACACGCCAGAGAAATTTAAGTCCATCAAAAGCGTACACAGTGGCCTCTGGTGAATTTGCAAAAGCAAAAACTGTGAGCAGACACATCTTCACTTACGCATTTCACTGTCCCCAAAAATGAAAACCTGGGAATGTATCCACAATGAGCCTGGATTGCAAATTATGGCATAGCTGCATGTTTGTGTAGTAAATAAGCACAAGTATCCACAATTGCCCTGTAAAAGTTTGGGGTCATTATGAAGAGGAAGGAACCTGATTTTTTTAGGGGGTCAATTGAGGTTTAAAGGCAATATTTCTTATTATTTTATATTAAAGTTGTTTCTTGGCCAGATATTGTGCATCAACGAAAAGCTTATTTATTCAGCTTTCAATATCTCAACTTCCAAAAATGTACTCTTATGATTTAAGATGGTCTTGTGGTCCAGGGTCACATTTCTGTTCGATCTTTCCTCAGATGGAGCAGATGTTTAGCGCTTTTCCTCCAGACGCTGCTGGAAATCTGGACTACAAGAATCTGGTGTACATCATCACTCACGGGGAGGAGAAAGACCAAGAGTGAATCTCTCACTTTCAACAATGCTCATTTAAACACCAGGGGCCTCATGTATCAATGCTGCGTACGCAAAAAAACTTTGCGTACGCCAGGTTTCACGCTCACGTTTTGATTTACAAACGATGAAATGAACGTGGGAATGTGCGCTGGTCCACGCCAACTTCATGCCTGGCGGACGCACATTTCTTGTGTGTCTGTTTTATTTCCATTGGCGACTCCTAGAGGCAGTAGTGTTAAATTGCTCTCTACAAAGTGTTTTTGAGCCGTGTAATGGCAGCTGTATGAGAAGGGTTTACGAGCTACGCCACTCATGCAGCTAAAGCCACTACAAAATTGTACACCTTTACATTGCACTATTTCTTTTTTAATCCACTCAGTGCGTTGTTCAGACCCAACTGTGTTAACCGCATCAGCTAAACTTTCCCACTCTATTTTTTCTTTTGTTGTTAATTCCGGAGGACAAATTTGCAGAACCTCCAATTCACATTCTGTTCAAAGTTTCTCTTCTTGCTTGCTTTTACCATTGCTTTTTCGTTGGGTTTTGCCAAAGTATAGTAATTAGCATATTCATACGGGGGAGGAGGCAGGGAGGGGTTTTGCGCTCATGCACATGCGCTCAGTTTCACGTTCATTCAGATGTACAAAGAGAATATGCAGGGGCGGACTGAGACAAAAATTCAGCCCTGGCACTGTTGCCACACCAGCCCACATTACCACACCAACACAACCCCACCCACGGACACGCACAATAACTATTTATTTTGGTGTAAAGATGGTGAAATATTATGACATTCTTGCCCAATTTTGATTATGTCCGGGTAACCTTGAATTGGGTCGGCCCATCTTGAAACCAGGGGGCAGTTGCCGATTGGGCCAAATGCTTAACATTTATTATTATTGTTATTATTTTTATCATAATCATCATAATATCACATCTAGCAAGAGAAAAAAGCTTTCTGCACTTAAAAACAAAAACAAAACAAAAAAAAAACTGACCGGCCCACATTTAAAAATTGGTCCGGCCCCTCTGGCATTTGCCAGAATTGCCAGATGGCCAGTCCGCCCCTGAGAATATGCGTGGGATTCGGCGTACGCAGTGTTTCATACATCTGAAATTTTTAATGCGTACGCACATTTACAGCTTTGTGCTAACTCAATGTTTTAGTATGATTTCAACGCAAGTCTTCGTACATGAGGCCCCTGGACTTTCTCAGATACAGTTCTGAGTGTATGATCTAACAAATGTGTACAGCAATCTGTATTTTATTTCTGAACTGAACCATTAAACCAAATCCTACTGAAATGTATTTATTATTGGAGTTGGTTTCAGGATTTTTATTTTCAGTTTCAGTTTATTCGTCTTTGTACAACCCTAACCCTAACAATTAAAAATGACAGATCACGCAACACATAAATAACTAAAACACAGAAAACAAATAACAAATACCTCTCATCTAAGAATAGGCTACATAAATATATATTTGGTATAGTTTTGTATTTTATGTACAGTATGTGATTGCATTTATACATATATATAAAAAATACACTAAATATACATGTATAAATTTTGTAAATACAAATTTATGTAAATTAAGTGTGATTAATTTTTTTATTATACTTTTTTATATTCTGGGCAAACTAAAAGAAACAAGACTAAATAGGAGATACTGTGATTTTTTTTAAACATCACAAATATTCATAAAAAACAAAAATTTCACATTTAATAATGCTAATTATGTTGTCTTCAATTGTATATTAGACACTAGATCTTATGAATGACATTCAGCAATCATTCATTCATTTTCCTTTGTCTTAAGCTGCATCTCAAATGCCACACTATACACTCATGCACTATGTACTTAAGTTACGCACTTACACACTCAACAGCACAGTATATGTATGTAGTGTCGTCCCAAATGGCACACTAATGTTTTTTTACTAAGCGGAAATTCAAACCGTTTCCCTAATGACGTTTAACGGTTGCCAAATCAGTGAAATAAATGACCAAACTATCAAATAACACCTGCCATGAGTATAACCGCATTCACCATCGGGAGGCGCTATAATCAATCTCGCAGGAGAAATTTGCCTTCACCATCCAAAATAAATAAAGTTATCCAACATGTGCGCCCGATAGCTCCGCCCAGGGCGGACTGGCCATCTGGCAATTCTGGCATATGCCAGAAGGGCCGGACCATTTTTTAAATGTGGGCCGGTCAGGTTTTTTTTTTTTTTTTTTTTTTTTTTTTTATATGTATAGTTTTTACATGCATGCAGCTTTTATCTCTTGCAATATGTTAAATTTGGTGATGATGATGATGATGATGGTGATGATGACAATAGTGATAATAATAATACATGTTAAGCATGTGGCCCAATCGGTGACGGCCGGCTGGTTTCGATATGGGCTGCTCCAATCGGACTCAATCAGAGGTTACCCGGCCTCCGCCTCTTCCGCTACGTGAGCAAACCTGCAGTCGTTGAGTGCGTGAAGTGTCCATCATTACACACTTCATTTTACCGGCTGAATGAGTGCATCATCTGGGTATTTAAAGTGCACTTATTATTGTTAGAGCTTTCAGTGTGAACACACTACTTACACTATTTATACTACAAAATGGCGTAGAATAGTGCATAAGTATGCGATTTGGGATGCAGCTTTTGTCCTTTATTTATCAGGGGTCGCAGCACATGTTTTACACAGCAGATGCCCTTCCAGCTGCAGCCGATTACTGGGAAACACCCATACACACTCATTCACACATAATAAGAAAATAGCAGTTTGCAGCATCAAGCAGCAGAACAAGCTGTTTTTAACAAAACAAAAAAAATCAACAGAAGTAAATGAGGGTGGAAGTCTCAGACCAAAAAGATTCAAATTGGTGTATAAGGTCATTCATTCATTAATTTTTCTTGTCTGCTTAGTCCCTTTATTAATCTGGGCTCGCCACAGCAGAATGAACCGACAACTTATCCAGCAAGTTTTTTACGCAGTGGATGCCCTTCCAGCCGCAACCCATCTCTGGGAAACATCCACACACACGGACAATTTAGCCTACCCAATTCACCTGTACCGCATGTCTTTTGACTGTGGGGGAGACCCACGCGAACGCAGGGAGAACATGCAAACTCCACACAGAAACACCAACTGAGCCGAGGCTCGAACCAGCAACCCAGCGACCTTCTTGCTGTGAGGTGACAGCACTACCTACTGTGCCACTGCTTCGCCCTGTATAAGGTCAATAACTTGCAGATAAAGATTTTTCAACCCAGGCTCATTCTGAAAACGTAAACCTAAATATATTTTAGCGCCAAATGTCCCAGGAGGATTTATTTCTTTCTTTATTTCTTTCTTTTTTTGCAGTTTTGTTTTTGCAAATCCGCCAGAGGCTGCTGTGTATGCCTTTTCAGATCTCAAAATTCTCTAGTGAGTGCCATTCGCGCCTGCTCTTCCTGCGTACATCCTCCAAAGGCTGCTGTGGACTGACCCACCCTCCTTCCTTTAATCCAACCGATAGTGTTTTCAAAAGCACTGATTGACATGCCCACCCACTTCCATAAACCCAACCGACAATGTTTTCAAAAGCAATCCAGAAAAAGAAAAGCCCCCTGATTATTACCACGGTTTCAGATTTGACCACATTCTCACCCTTTTATTTACTTGTTTATTTTATTTTTTGCGTTTTGTTTTAGTTTTACCTCCTTTCTGGAACCGTTTATTTCCGGACTCAAACCCCGTGATCACGGTCAACACCTCTCTGCGTCTCAAGTCTGCTGACGTATGTTGCAAGCCACTAGAAAAACTGGAAACAGAGAGAAAGCAGCTCATACTGAGGTAAGCGGTCAGCGGGTAAGCACGAAAAAGAACGGCAATACCACCCAGTAGCGTTCGTTTTAAAGACGAAATGCAGCTATACATACAGTTGAAGTCAGAAGTATTAGCCCCCCTGAATTATTAGCGCCCCTGTTTATTTTTTTCACCAATTTCTGTTTAATGGAGGGAAGATTGTTTCAGCACATTTCTAAGCATAATTGTTTTAAAAAACTATTTCTAATAACTGATTTATTTTATCTTTGCCATGATGACAGTAAATAATTTTTTACTTGATATTTTTCAAAACACTTCTATACAGCTTAAAGTGACATTTAAAGGATTAACTAGGTTAATTAGGTTAACTAGATAGGTCAGGGTAATTAGGCAAGTTATTGTATAACAATGGTTTGTTCTGTAGATTATCGAGAAAAAAAATTGCTTAAAGGGGCTAATAATTTTGTCCCAAAAATGGTTTGTAAAAAATTAATAACTGCTTTTATTCTAGCCGAAATAAAACAAATAAGACTTTCTCCAGAAGAAAAAATATTATCAGACATACTGTGAAAATTTCCTTGCTCTGTTAAAAATCATTTGGGAAATATTTAAAAAAATAAAATAAAATCAAAAGGGGGCTAATAATTCTGACTTCAACTGTACTTCTGGCTACATAATTCACAATCTCCAGAAATGTATATAGGGCTACGTTTTCAGAATGAGCCTATGCTGAGATTTTTTACTTTGAACGAAAACAAAACTGGTACTTTACTCCCACCTACTGCATGAGTAAAGGACTTACAAAAGCCTACAATTCAATATCTCACAACCCTGACCCTCAAACACAGCCATGAAGCATTTTAACACAAACAATTCTGCTGAAATTAATCATGTTTAGCCTAAACATACACAAATTCCAACAACCAGAGTCATACACTTCTCCAAACCCCATGAGTTCACAGTCCTTTCAAAGATTCGCAAGGTAATAGGTCAACAAGTTAGACTAATTATTATCGGTACTTACAATAACCTTGATTTCTACAGAGCTTTCACATGTTGTTTTTATTTTTCCTTCGCTGAATAAATGCAAAATGTAGAAGAAACAACTGGCATTGACACCCACTTGACATTTCAAAGCCAAAGGGAACAACATGTTCAACTCCATTTACTTTTGGATCTGAGTGAAAATACCAGCGCTTGCGAGCACATTGATGATGTAAATACCTTCATAAGGCTGAAAGAGAGAAATTATATTTAATATGGTTAGTCACTGATTGAAATTGAAATTTAATTATATTTAATTGACCCCATGTCAGCAGCAAGGCCACTTTCACACAGAAAAACTACAGAAAATGCTCCATATTAGAGGCTTAAATGTGTTCATGGAACTTTATATTTGGAAGCCTTTTTACCCATGCAGACCTGAATTATGTTCCAATTTTCTGAAAAATGTAAAAGTATGTTTTCACAGTTCTTGAGACCGACCTATAATAATAAAACAACAGCCTTTAGGTGTGTGTATTTTTTGTCCATTTTAATGGTCATCAGGTCAGAACAGTTGTAATATAAAACATATAATACAAAAGAGAATCATACATGACCGCTGGTGTAATCTTGAAGTTTATTTTCAAAATCCCAAACATTAACATTGTAACATTTTGTCTTTGATTTTGAGGTTTTCATTGCATAGATTGCAACTTGTTTATAATATCTACCTTATCACTCCACATGTCCACGTCTGAGATTTTCCATCTGCTAAATGCTTAACAACTTCAATATCTGCATATTCTGCATATAAAATAGTTTTAGCAATGAATTGGTACATCAATAAAACATTTTAGCCACCCTTTCAATTTTTTTTTTTCTGTATTTTCCAAATAATGTTTATTAGAGCAAGGAAATTTTATTAGAGCAAATGAATATTTTTTTCTTCTAAAGATAGTCTTATTTGTTTAATTTTGGCCAGAATAAAAGCAGTTTTTAATTTTTTATATATATATAAAATATATATATTTGATTGTCTATAGAACAAACCATCGTTTTACAATAATTTGAGTAATTACCCTAACCTGCCTAGTTAACCTTAACCTAGTTAAGCCTTTAAATGTCATTTTAAGCTGTATAGAAGTGTCTTGAAAAATATCTAGTCAAATATTATTTACTGTGATCATGGCAAAGATAAAATTAATCAACTATAAATGAGTTATTAAAACTATTATGTTTAGAAATTTGTTGAGAAAAATATTCTCTTTGTAAAACAGAAATTGGGGAAAAAATAAACAGGGGGGCTAATAGTTCTGACTTCAACTGTATTTATACAGTTGAAGTCAGAATTTTTAGCCCCCTTTGAATTGGTTTATCTTTTTTAAATACTTCCCAAATGATGTTTAACAGAGCAATGAAATTTTTACAGTATGTCTGATAATATTTTTTCTTCTGGAGAAAGTCTTATTTGTTTTATTTCAGCTAGAATAAAAGCAGTTTTTATTTTTAAAAAACCATATTAAGGTCAAAATTAGTAGCCTTTTTGAGCAATTTTTTATCAATAGTCTACAGAACAAACCATCGTTATACAATAACTTGCTTAATTACCCTAACCTGTCTAGTTAACCTAATTAACCTAGTTAAGCCTTTAAATTTCCCTTTAAGCTGTATTGAAGTGTCTTACAGTATCTTACAGATTTCTTTCTAATTAACATCTTGAACATCTTATCTTGAAATTGTGATCTCTACAAACCAATGGCAAATATTAGAAATTTAGCAAAACCTGCAAAGATCTTTTATGCTTATTCCTTCTAGCTTAAAACTAAATTCTAAATTATTTTTATTTCATTATTTATATTTTTGTACAGTTTTCTAATACTTAATAATATTATATAATTTTACGTTCTAAATGAATGGCATTGATTACCATCACAAACTATTTAACAGATATATAAAATTAAAATTAAGACGCCAAGAATTGAAACTGACATCTTACAATTCTGAAGGAAAAAAGACTGAACAGCAATTTTGTATTAATAAAAGAAGTCGCAATAACCCTTAATTTTTTTTATTCAGTGATAAAACTGCACGGCGAAAAGTGCCACGTATAAAAATATGTCACGATATTACAGTCGTAATATTTGTAGAATAAACTCGAAATGTGAGTAGAATACAGTCGTAGAAATACGAGTTTAAAGCTGTAACATTTCTAGACTAAAGTCGTAGCTATACAAGATTAATTATGCAATATTTTGTCGTAGCAAAATGGATATGGAATAAAATAGGCCACGTGCTAATTATTTTCATGATATCTGAAGTTGTAGTTCGCCTGTTCGACCTCTAGATGTCGCTAAATAGTAACAAAATTAAAGACAGCATCTCGCTTTCATAACACGCTATCATACTGTAATTCAGACCTGCTACAGGTTCATTTGAAATAGACTAGCTTAAGTATTACAAACTCCACTACACTTCTAATAACGTATTATCACTTGAGTGTAGCTTAATTTCCCTTTTCTAAAATTAAATGTGACTAAATAGTGTAAACCTGAGGCTGAGACATCATATACAGTTGAAGTCAGAATTATTAGCCCCATTTTGATTTTTTTTTTTTTTTTTCTTGTTTAAATATTTCCCAAATGATGTTTGACAGAGCCAGGAAATTTTCACAGTATGTCTGATAATGTTTTTTTTCTTCTGGAAAAAGTCTTATTTCTGTTATTTCGGCTAGAATAAAAGCAGTTTTAATTATTTTTTTTAAAACATTTTTGGGACAAAATTATTAGCCCCTAAAGCTATTTTTTTTTCCGATAGTCTACAGAACAAACCATCAGTATACAATAACTTGCCTAATTACCCTAACCTGCCTAGTCCACCTTATTAACCTAGTTAAGCCTTTAAATGTCACTTTAAGCTGTATAGAAGTGTCTTGAAAAATATTGAGTAAATATTATTTACTGTCATCATGGCAAAGATAAAATAAATCAGTTATTAGAAATAGGTTTTTAAAACTATTATACTTAGAAATGTGCTGAAACAATCTTACCTCCATTAAACAGAAATTGGGGAAAAAATAAACAGGGGTGCTAGTACTTCAGGGGGGCTAATAATTCTGACTTCAACTGTATAACAAATTTTAGCTCAATATACTGGTCCCAGTTCATGCATCTGAAACGTTTATGATTCTATAACAAGTTCTGAAACTGAATACAGCCCAAAACCAGAAGTTCATAAGTCTGTCAGTGACTAAATTAAGCAAACTCAGAATACAGCTACTGATAAACACATTAACCCTTTAAAGCAGTTCATAACCACAATTCTGAATCACAAAGCATTACAATAATAATACAAAGCAATACAACGCAATGCAAACAACCATTAAAAATAAAAAAAATTGACATTATTATTATCCAACATCCAACTGATTCATATGATAAAGCTAAAAACACATTTAATGTTTATGCTTTCACTTAGTAAATAAGTTTGACACTTGTGCACATCCAACATTAAAATGATACATTAGTAATTTATAGTAAATAATACAGTGTTTCTGAACCATAGGCTACTATAGTAAAGTGCATTACTGTATCATACTGTAGTATGAACTATAGGGAACTGATACACTGAAAGAAAAAAATACTGTAGTATCGCCTACTCTAGTTTTTACTATATTAATAGTAATCTGTGGTGCATTATGATATAATATAGTTGTTCAAAACTACATTTTGAGTATTTGTTTATATTATAATTGTCGCATTACCACAGCCACAATAGAAATACTACAACAGATTGATTTCAAGTACTGTACTAAAGCATAATTCAATAACACTATAGTATTTACTAATACACTGTAATAAATATTTTAGTATACTTAAGTGTTTACTACAGTAATATGTGTTAATATACTATATAGTTACAGTATTGAGTATTTGATTATATTACTATAGTTGTTGCATTATCATAGCAATGCAACAGATTAATTAGTTTCTACAATCATCTGTAGTGCATTGTAGGATAATATAGTAATAGAAAACTACAGTATTGCACCTGTCCGACTGCTCATTAGTGCAAATCAGCCAATCAGATGGGAGCAACTCAATGCATTTAGGCATGTATACATGGTCATGATGATCTGCTGCAGTTCAAACCGAGCATCAGCATCAGAAAGATGATTTAGGTGACTGTGAACGTGGCATGGTTGTTGGTGCCAGACGGGCTGGTCTGAGTATTGCAGAAACTGCTGATCTACTGGGATTTTCATGCACAACCATATCTAGGGTTTACAGAGAATGGTCAGAAAAAGAGAAAATATCCAGTGAGCGGCAGTTCTGTGGGCGCAAATTCCTTGTTGATGCCAGAGGTCTGAGGAGAATGGCCAGTCTGGTTCCAGCTGATAGAAAGGAAACAGTAACTCAAATAGCCACTCGATACGACTGATGTCTGCAGAAGAGCATCTCTGAACACACAACATGTCCAACCTTAAGGCGGATGGGCTACAGCAGCAGACGACCACACAGAGTGACATTGCTGTCAGCTAAGAACAGGAAACTGAGGCTACAATTGGCACAGACTCACCAAAATTGGACAACAGAAGATTGGAAAAGCGCCTGGCCTGATGAGTCTTGAATTCTGCTGCGACATTCGGATGGTAGGGTCAGAATTTGGCATGAAAGCATGGATCCATCCTGCCTTGTATCAACGATTTAGGTTGGTGGTGGAGGTGGTGTAATGGTGTGGGGTTATTTTCTTGGCACACTTTGGGCTCATTACTACCAATCGAGCATTGTGTCAACGCCACAGCCCACCTGAGTATTGTTGCTGACCATGTCCATGCCTTTATGACCACAGTGTACTCCTCTTCTGATGGCTACTTCCAGCATGAATAACATGACATGTCATAAAGCGCGAATCATCTCAGACTGGTTTCTTGAAAATGACAATGAGTTCACGGTCACCAGATCTCAATCCAATAGAGCAGCTTTGGGATGTGTTGGAATGGGGGATTCACATCACGGATGTGCAGCTGATAAATCTGCAGCGACTGCGTGATGCTATCATGTCAATATGGACCAAAATCTCTGAGGAATATTTCCAGTACCTTGCTGAATCTCTCCCACGAAGGATTAAGGCAGTTCTGAAAGCAAAAGTGGTCCAACCCAGTATTAGTCAAGTGTGCCTAATAAAGTGGCCAGTGAGTGTAGTATTTACTACAAAATTACTATAGTATTTTTATCAGGGTACATGTGTATAATTATATAAATATATTATTATTACTATTATTATAGGTAGCAGTATTATAGGAAGCAGTATTTTTTCATGTGGGTGGATGTATATTGTTATTATTATGCTATTATGTTATTATTACTCTATCGAAACGGACAGTTTTGTTTAAAAATTATACCAGGTTCAATTTGTACGCCGTGTTTGATGTTTTATTCGTGAACACCAAAGCCTATCCATTTCAACTTCTCTGCTTCACTGTACTGTTTTTTTTTTTACTCCAGCTGTTGCGTAAGGGCGTGTGACGTCAGACCAGTCACAAGACTTCAGTCGCGCCGCCGCAACCCACAGCGCAGTTCACGGACGAGCACGCGAGCGAGCGAGAGCGCGCAGCAATGGAGCTCATCGCGAGGAGAAAGAGTTTAACAACAAAACCCGGATCGACTTGGATATTCTGAATAAGCGCGTTACACATATTTGCGCTATGGACAGCTGAATGTGACTGCTGCGTTAGGAAGGCCAGGATTTGGAAACTTTACGCTTATTGTAACGTCGTTTGACACCGTGGATGCTGTTGTTGTGACACCTCCAGACGTCATCTAGAGCCGTGGATTTGTTGTTGGTGGTGTGGTGGTTTATTTAACCCACACTACCCCTGCTGCAGGGTCCAGGGGTGATGTTGTCCGTTCTCTCGTACGGTCGACTGGTGGCCCGGGCGGTCATCGGCGGACTCTCGCAAACCGACAGCCGCGATTACAGCCTGGTGTCGGCCAGCTTCGGTTTCGGGAAGGATTTTCGCAAAGGGATCTTGAAGAAAGGGATGTGCTACGGAGACGACGCATGCTTTATAGCCCGGCACCGGTCTGCTGATGTGTTGGGTATGTAATTGCTACAACGATTAAGGGCGATTTGTTTTTACACGCGAAGATCATTTGCTAGGGAGAACTGGTTTAGTCAGGTATGTTCGTGGTTGACTCGCTTCTGACGTCACGACTGTCGCACATCAGTGCGCCGACAAAAGCCTTTACAACCATCTATATAACGTTACACGTATGAAGATTTTATGAGGATACATAACTTTCCAATTACTTTTAAAAAATTTCACCTAGTGGTTAAGGCTATTCCAGCTGGTTAAATACAACTAATTAATAATCACCTTTATTATGGATGCGTAAAAAGATAGGCTACTCCCAGAATTAAAAATTGACGGTGTTGAAATACTTTCTCTATCATATAATAATAAAAAATTAGACAACTGTTTCAATCTAAACATAAAATATCCCCTAGTAGAGGGAAATATTATTGGAATGAAAAAAAAATATTAATATTATAAATGGAAAGCTACCTGGTCAATGCCCTTTAAATTTTAATTTTAAGAAGTGCACTTTAAAATACTTCACAAAATGTATCCTTGCAAAGCAACTTTATCTAAATTCATGAATATTGATAATACTTGCACATTTTGTAATATACATGAGGAAGACTTATCTTTTCTATAACTGATGTATCTCTTAAATTTCGGAATGATGTTAGTGGCATGTTATTTGGGCAAAGAAATGTTAATAACAGGCTCTCTTTAAAAGATGTCATTTGCATTTTTTCACACACAAAAAGAACATTTGAGTATGTTGTTATCTTCTTCATTTTACAAGGTAAATATTTTATGCATAAACAGAAATTTGCGAAATGTATAGCAAAATGCAATATTTTTTTATTAATAATGGAAAATTTGAAAAAGTCTCTAATGCAAATTAAAAACAAAAATAGTGATTTAATGTTAGATTTCTTGAAGGTTTTTTCTCTGTTACTGATCCCCCGCTGTAGTCGTTGATTGTATCCCAAGTTATTATTTTTGTTTATATGTATAGAAGTAATTTGTAATACTTTTTTTCTCCAGTTATGTTTTTGCTTCATTATCATTTATGGTTGTTGTTGTAATTATTGTAATGTTCTTGGATATAGCATATATCTGAATTTGTATTATTACTTTATGTAATGTTTCAAAACTATAATAATTTTTTTTTAATAAATAAAGTTACACGTTAGATCAAGATTATATATTAGTTGTTAAAACATTCCGTTCATAATTCTATAATAACGTGAATTTATATAAAACTTTATAATAAAAACATTTCTTAAGACATGCTACATAATAGGCTAATAACAAACGTTTCATTATTAACTGCCATGTTAACATGTAAAATTAGTTTTATATTTGCATTATCTCCTGAACATAATTTCAGATGGTTATCCAAGTACATTGTTCAGTCAAATAAATAGTGCTAATGTTGTTTTGAAGTCATACTTGCATGTGATTTCAGATTGAATATTTAAAAGTACCATCATGTCACAAGTTGTCACTGAACGAATGTGCGAATATAAAATCAATTTTACTACGGCGATTATTAAAACATTTCATCCATAATAATACTATAATAACATGAACTGATATACAATTTCATTACAAAAATATTTGTTAAGACTTGCTACATAATAGGCTAATAACAATAAACGTTTTATGATTAATTGCCATGTAATTGTTGAGGTGCAGTTGGTTCTATATTAGCACATTTGTTCAGTGACACGGTCATTGAGGTAAAATTGGTTTTATATTCACACATTCTGACTCTCTCCGTAATAACATAAATTCAGAAAATTATTCGTTGCTAATTTTAAGTAGTGAAATCATAGTAGCGGCCGATGACTATCAAAGTACAACAATGTTAAGTTAAATAAATAATGCTAATGTTGTTTTGAAGTGATACTTGCATGTGGTTTACAGTGGTGTAAAGTAACTAATTACAAATACTTAAATTACTGTAATTGAGTAGTTTTTCTCAGGAATTGTTATTTACTAAGTAGATTTAAAAATGTGTACTTTTACTTACCCTTGAGTACGTTTTTAGTGCTGTATCAGGACTTTTACTCCACTTCTTTCCTTTAACCTGCAGTCACTACTTTATTTTTTCTTGTCTATGGCGATTAGAAAAATTAGTCCTGTGATTTCTGTCCAATCAAATCTCATATGGAAGGTAAATTGCCTTATAATGAACTACCTCAAGACATGGGCGATTCATAATTGCAGCAAACTGTTTGGAAGCATTAAAAGTGTCCAAGATGTTGTCCAAAATCTTTACCCTTATTGACCCAGAGACTGTTTAAACGCATGTCACTGATGAGATGACGGATGTATGATGACCAAAATTGCCTTAAACACCCAACAGGCACAGGACGTCAACATGATGTCCCCAACATTGTGGAGTCATTGCATTTTGTTTGGAAATGAAAATCGGGTTGACATCCGAACCCAACATCACACCGAAGTCAATGTCCCACGTCAAACCTAAAATCAATCAAATATCAACGTCTGATGATTTTACAGCTTGATATTGTGTGGATAATACCACTATGATGTCTATCAGACGTTGGATTTTGGTTGTCATACCTGACGAAAAAAAATGTCAATATTTGATGTCAATGTAGCTTTGGTTTAAGATGTTGGCTTGAGGTTTTGGTCACTTTCCTACTTAACCAAATATCAAGGTCATTTAACGCCATTGTTGGACATCAAATTAACATTGTCCTTACACGCTGGCTAGACATTCAATTTTGGTCACCTGACATCACAACCTAAATCTAACCTAATATTAACGTCATATGATGTTGTGTGCCTACTGGACAATAACTAAATGCACTACAGAATGTTACGTTTACACACATCCTCAAAATGTAAATGCATCAGCTTTTTACAGCGTAATACTCACTACTCGAGTACTTTTGGAGGGTCTACCTTTTACTCATACCTTGAGTAATATTCAACTTTTGAGTAACATATACTTTTATTCTATTTGCACCACATTTTAGGCAAGTAATGATACTTTTACTTACGTATGATTTTTCAGTACTCTTTTCACTACTGGTGGTTTCAGACCGAATATTTAAAGTACCAGGAGAAACTATATACAGTAGGGAAGCATGTCACAAGTTATCACTGAACAAACGTGCGAATATAAAACCAACTTTACTGTCAGTGACACTGTCCTTATATTTCAAAATGTTTCAGCTTTCTCCGTTAGCAATTTTAATCTTTCTTTTTTAACACCTTAATTGGTCTCTTTATAATATTTATTTGAATATATAGGAAGCTTGTGGTAATATCTGTTGTCTGTCCTGTTGTTTGTACACTTACTAAAGCCATAATTATGAATGGTCAAGAAACAATAACGGAGTCTACAGTGAGAGGGAGTCTGTTTCTAATGTTTAGTGCTACATGTGACTATTGCAGGGTGTAAACTGTTAAAAAAAAGAGTAGTTGAAAACTACTGCATTGTTGTGATGTGAAGTGTTTCAAGCACAGAGTGTACTTTTAAGGATATGCTAATTTATGTTGACTGCAGTGCTAACTCTGGGCCTACTCACACTATGCCATCCGCACCGTGCCCAGGCCCGTTTCCCGGATCGTTTGAGAAGTGTGAGTGCGCTGAATCGGGCTCAAGCATGGTTCACTTGGCCGGCCCTGGCCCGGTTGGAAGAGGTGGGCCTGGGCGCGGATCACTTGGGCTTTGGCGCGGTACGCTTGTGTGTGAGTGCAAAACGCGCCAAAGCCCGAAACTGAAAGCGAGACGTGACTTTTAAGGGGCTGTTGCATATGGATTTATTAATCATTCTTACTGTTCAGTGATCGCAAACTGCCGTAGTTTATTAAAGACGCAAAACCCTCACTGCACAGCAGCCGCGCGCCTTCAGCAGACCTCCTCATTCCTGCAGCACGAGAGCTTTATGATTGTTTATGCGCGCCAAAAGTGGCGGATCTGTCCGGTGAAATATCTGACTGCGTGTCCCCGCATCCCTAAGGACTGTTTGGCGAAATATTTGACTGCATGTCACTGCATAACAAACGACTGAAAGGATATAACTAGAGAAATCTCCACTGTGCTGCTGAGTGAGAGCATATGGCAAGCCGTTTTAGCATTTAAATCTTGTTCAGACTATCCATAAATATATTTAGAGATATCTCTAATTATATTTTGACTTGTCATAATTATAATTCGACTAGTCAGATTGGAGATATCTGCAAACATATTATGACTGACTAGTCATATTCCTCCATTGACTTCCATTGAAAAATATTTGCAGATATCTCTAAATAAGTTTTGACTAGTCACAATTGTAATTAGAGATATCTCCAAATGAATTTTGACTAGTCAAAAATCCAATTCAAGATATCTACAACTGTAATTCGACTATTAGTAAATTAATATGAGATATCTTCAAATATATTTGTAAATATCTCTAAATATGATGAATTAAAGATATGTCTAAATGTATTATGACTAGTAAAAACTCAGAGATATCTCTAATTACAATTGTTACTAGTCAAAATTTATCTGATTTCGTACTAGTAAAATTGTAATTGCAGGTATCTCTAATTGTCATTCTGAGTATTGGAGTTATAATTATGACTAGTCAAAATATAATTAGAGATATCTCTAATATATTTATGGAGTCAGAACAAAGATTTAAATGCTAAAAAGCCTTGCCATAGAGAGCGCTTCTCACTGAACTGAGCAGCAGCGATGACGTAAGCGTGCCGAGGCCCGATATGGTGTGAGTGCGGGCCGTCGGGGGAGACGGGAGGGGGGACAAGCGTGCTTTGGCCCGGTTCGAGGCAACTGTACCTAGTGTGAGTACGGCCTCTATGTGGTTTGTACTTAAAAGTACTTCAGTTCATAGTGCTGCTGGAATATGCAGTGTTAGTTTGTCGCATCATGTCATCACATTACAGACCAGTCAAATGGCATATCTTATAACCTGAGTATGACACCTACAGTTTCATTTAGTCATTTAGTAGACGCTTTTGTTTTTTGAGGCATTCAGC